TCAAACTTCTCTCCTATTCCCTTACCCACCCCTGTCCCGTCTGTGGCCTTTCTGGCAGGCATCGCCACTCGCATATACAGCCACTACATCATGAGCCAGGGAGAGATGCCATATCACAGCAGCCAAAAAACACAGACAGAGCTCAACCTTCTCCAGAGACAGACAAAGACAAGAAGCGAGGCCAAGCTTGTCCAGGCCAACCAGCATAATAATACCGTGGCGGAGTCGGACAAAGAGAAAGGAAGAGATTCGCTAATTTGTTTCCACAATAAAATCTGTATTTGTGAGCACATTGACGGAAGACAGTTCATTCATCACTGCGCTGTGTCCGGGAGATATGCTGCAACACAAACCTTAGCCACACCAATTCCGGTGAAGCGAGCCTCCAGCAGCTCCTGCCGTCGGGGGTCCAGGCTGTGCAGTTCTTCCATCATGGCTGCAGAGACAGAGCCCAGATTAAAAAAGCATTGTAAGGCTTGGTGATTCGAAATGGGAATGACATAACACTATTTCGAAAGGAACTGGTTGTGATGAGTCACGGCTGTTTTTAGATATATGGATTGGAAAATGTCTGTTCTGACTCATCAGTAACGCAGACAATGAGGTCTGCCATTATCATGGCTGTTAAGCAAACACCAGTTTAGTCACGTCAGTTCCAAGTACAACTTAGATTAGTGTACCAAATTTAAAAACTACATATACCTTCATTAAACGACAAATTGAAACTCTAGCCTTTCCAGTTATTATATATAACCCATTGGTTAGCTTAGTCTCCTACGTGCAAATCATTAATTCACCGTGGTCAGACTGAATCTAGACTGCGGCTGCTCCCACGTGTGGATTAGAGTCTCTGGAATTGACATGTCCCAATTTACAACGCCAACACCGACAACTAGGTGTGTTCCATCTGCACCTTGTTTCAAGTGGCAAGAGGACAGCCTTCAGAGTCTAGTAGGCTACCTGTCAGCTCATTACAGCTCACAATGTCACTGCCACAGTTAGTACCCCCACTATATAATACCTAATTTATCCATATGTATTTTTCAGAATCCTTGTTGCGACTATGTGCTTATAACAGCAAAACGTGTTTAGCTAATAGTTGCAATACTAGTTTAAGTGCAGTGTGTTTAAGTATTTGTACAAAATTATGCCAAATACAAATTAAAAACGATTTATTTTTGAGCTCATCTGACCACATTAAGCACAAAAACCTACAGAGAAAAGGCACAAATGTTTCTGACTTGAGTACACTTTCTCCTAATGAATAAAAACACAAACACAGGTAGACTATGAATTGACAGCTCTGACAAATTAACTTTTGGGAATGAGAAATTACACACGTTATTTTTGGTAGTATTGACTTTTAAGTTTCGATGGCTTAAGATGGAGCATCAACTCACAGGCCAGATGTGTGTCACTGAGCCACTACCTAAAAAATACAGCTTAACCACATAACGCCTGGCGATATGGGCACCAAGTTACATGATGCTGAAGTTAGGAAAAAGCAATTTATTAAGAATAATGTCAAATAAAACCAGAGCTGTAACAAAAATGTCACTACAGACAAATGGTGCTTGGTCTTGGTGTTTGTGCAAAGGTTAACGTTAAAGTTACACGCCCAGATCATAACAGCTATACCTTTGACTTGCATACATTAAAATGAAAAACGTAATCCGCGACTTTATACCTTATTTGGGGAAACATTTTCAGTGTGTCTGCATTTATTCGAGTATGCGTTTTCCTCATAATGGTTCGCCTTAGAATTTAAGACATAAAACATTGCCATCACTGACTGACAAGCTACCACTGAATATATAAGCTAACATGCTAGCATATCATTTAACCAAGGGAAACTATTTCAATATTAACATTTTAATAGATGAATTATTAGCCTCCGGTTAACAAGCATTTAAATCATCTCCTGAAGTCAGCCATATAACAATAAAATGACGGCTCTTTAAACGCGTCAAACAGCCGATGCTAGTTAGCTTATGCTATTTAGCACAAGGTAGCGCTGACTCGTCTGTCAAAAAGCATCTCAGGCCATGAAGTCTATTTGCACTCCATAAAAAGACAAGCGTCGAATATGTTTAAAGCGAAGCCTTTAAAAAATACTTACTGCTATTTTTAAAATATCTCTCCGTCCTCCTAAGGGGCTCCTGATCATCCAAATAACCGTCCCCGTTGTCTGACCAGCGCTTGGCAGACCCTCCCAGGCTAAGGCCGTAACTACAGCCTCGACCCTCGCGTTGCCGATTGTTCCAGTCGAAGACGCACTTACGTGCGGCGTAGTTCGAAGAGACTACGCGGAGGGTTCCCACGGAGGCCTTAAGCGACAGCTCCGGGTATCCCAAACCCGCCTTTCCGTTCTTTCCTTAGACGGGGATCCCCATCACATCTCCCTCTTTCTAAGGACCATTCCGTGGTGACTTCAATGTATCTCGTCCTTCCACACAATGGCGACCCCCAAGATTCTGCGTCTTTTCCACCAGGTATTAATGATGCATTTAAGTCAGTGGTATATAGTTACCCCCCTTACCCTTTCTTTTCTCCCCCGGTGGTGAGATAGATTTCGGGTCCTGGCTTTTTCCAGGTCGATCATAAACAAAGTTCGAGTCCAAATGCTGCAGGGCAATAAAACCAATCCCGTTTCGGAAGTTGTGCTTTTGCAATCCGTTTCAGTTGAAACTGGATCAATTCGGTTCTGTTCTCATGTTTTTGCAATGTAAACAATAATCAGGAAAATCACACATTTTCTCGTGAGATTGCTTAAGAATTTTCACCTTCTTCACTTCAGCCTGCCCCCAAATCATTGTTCGGACCAATGGCAAAACCCCGTGTACGCCACACAATTTCACTGCGCCCACCCACACAAGTATCAAAATGATCACTTATCACAAAGTTACCATTACAATTATGTTCACACCCACACCTAAGTGTGTGCGTGTCCTTGTGTGTAAAGACTCCTGTATATCTTTCTAAATGTATTTATATATTATATATATTATTATAATAATATATATAATATATAATAATAAATTATAATCAACATTTTTTTTAAAAAACATTGAAAAATATAAATGTTTAGAGACTGACCAGATAAATATATAGAATAAAAATCATCCAAATCATGTCAGAGGGTCAAGTTTACAATTTATATAAATGTATTTATTATTGTTATTTATGTAACCAAATGAAGATATTAAACTTCATATTCATTAATATAAAAGTGGCATTAAATGGAATGCATTTTCCCATTGATCAGTTAGCAAAAAGTATGGTTTAATAAAAAGTTAGCCTAGAAATACTGACGGGGTAAAAGGTAAAAGTAATTAAGTAAAAGTACCAGGTTTTATTTTTAATATTAATATTTTATAAAGGGTCAACATCAAGTTCAAGGAAAATGGTTACCACACTACTGTTCAGTTGATTTTTATTGATTTTTCAAGTACAAAAGGATTATCTTTCTTTAAAATCAATACCAAACACTTTCATCATTAAAACCAGCCTGTGGCTGAATTTATCCGAGGGTGTCCAGCCCTTCCTCTGAACTGATCACCAGAAAATGACGAATCAGAATCATCAGGACGATGAACCTTAAAACCTGTCCGTCAGCAGTACATCAGAGCAGATTTGTCTAAGTTGCCGTCAATTTGCACTCCATTCTCAACAACTCAACAACAGAGCGAGGCAACGTCCCGTTCTGTGGTCTTGGTAGAAAGGACCAGTATCACTTGAAAATCAGCTCCCAGTTTGGGTCAAAGCACGGTGGGTTTTCTCCTCTGCCTCAGAGGGCTGAGCTGGAGCCTTGCTGTACTTGCACTGGATCCACACTCTGTACATGGTCAGCTGTTTTCCTCGGTTCACCTGCAGCCTTCGGTCCACAAGATTCTGCACTTTCTGAAGCCCTGCTGCAGCGAAGAGCTCATGGAGCTCGTCTGGAGTAAACAGAAGATTTTTACACAATATAATACAACACTGATTCTAGAAAATCTCAGAGAGTAGGATTCCCTACCTTGGGTGAAGAAATAGACTCTTGTGCCATCGCCTCGGACGTAGAAGTTTTCCGACAGACACCTCCCTTACAATATAAACAAACGACTGCAAATCAACAACTGTTGCAGTTACATTTTATGTTACGGTGCACTTTTAAAACGGGCGCACAATGTTGTCTTGCTTTTAACAGTGATCACCATAAATCCTTTGTTTGTGGAGTGAATTTTTCTTTTTAAGTATTCGATCATACTTTACAATCGCAGTCTAGTAATAAACACTGCATTCATGCTCCAGCCGAGAGCCACAATCCTTATTTTAGAAAAATTTAATAATTGAATGTGGTTTCCCAAACTTGAATATTAAATGTTTAGTTTTTCTTTTACTATTATTTCCTATGCTTTGATCCGCTCGATGAAGCGTTAGAAAACAAGCTCCAATTTTAAACAAAAACGCAGCGACAACCAAAACTTAATGGAGGAAGTGATTTGCAGTAAAAAAAACTTCCCGCTGTGGGAATGAACAAAAGGACAAAATGTGAATTTTTAGTCCCAGGACATTTTAAAGCTCTGCAACTTAATCGTTTGAGAAACAGCAGAGTGTATTTTTGACCAATATATAGTCATATAAAATACATTAAAAATCAATAATAAGAAAAACTGAATTTTCCCAGTGAGGGATCAATCAAATCTAAATTAATCTAATCCAATCTAAAAGATGTATTTCAGGCTTTAAGAAATTGGTAGAATGCTAACTTGTTAAACTCCCCTAACAATTATAATGAGTCATTCTTGCTGAGTTTTCCAACTGACCGACCTTTCTTGAAGCGAAGCTGTGCCATATCATAACGTCCGTAGTCCCTGAGCAGCATCACTCCCCCGGGCTTTAAGAGTCGTGCCAATCTACTGATGGACGCCTGCATCCTGAGAGATGGGTTTATGTGAGTAGGTCACATATTACACACAGGAACGTGACGTTACTTCATATAAAACACATTTAAGGAAGTACAAGAACTTATAAAGGATGAGCTAATTCTAAAAAGGAAGCTAACATATTAAAAAAAAGAACCGAAGAAAATGTGTGAAATCACAAGTGGGGAAATTAAGAGAGGAAGTTCCTACTTGTTTGGATGCAATGCAGAAAGCACAAAGATCAACACGATGACATCAAGGGTTCCGTCGGGGACGGGGTAATCGACCTCAGCGTCACTCAGGTCGTGAACAAAGGCCAAGCAACGCTCAGGGTCGTATTCCGGATTGGTCTAATGATACAAACGGTCGTCCAAATTCATCATTTGGCCAAAAACTGCTTAGGAAGTAAATGCCTACTGACATGTTACCCTCAGGTTGATTCAACCATCTCACCTTCACCAGCTCCACTGCAGTGCTGGAGAAATCACAGCAGTAGACAAATAGTCCTGGGTCACTGGGAAAGCAAAGCTAAAGTTACTTAGCGTACATTGTATCTCACTGTTCAAACATGGACATGTTTACTGCGTCTGGTCTTCACGTACTTGTTAGTCTTCAGTATTGGGAAAACTGTGTTTCCCACACCACAGCCAACCTGTACCAAAAACAAGAAAACAAAATCTTTGTAAATGTTTCGTTGGCTCTTATGAAGTTTAAAAATTATTTTTTAGTGTTTTTAATCCATGTTTGCACACAGCCATTTTAAACTGTTATTCAATCTAACTTTGTAGTTTTCTAAACCCAGTTTGGTACTTTGTAGTTAACGATTACTCTGAGTACTTTGTAGTTTTCTAAACCCAGTTTGGTACTTTGTAGTTAACGATTACTCGAAGGAATTGATCCACGTGGTCTTTCACAGACAAAGTATTCCTAACTAAAGTAGATGTTTACAACATGTATATCCAACGTGAAAAGACAATCTGTGAGAGTGTGCTGTTAGCGCTGTCATATGCTCAAAATGTGATCACAAGGGCAACGCAATATGATGCAGTTCATTACAAAACACCACAGTGTTTGTTTTTAGTCACTGTAAAGAGCAGTAGAAACATAGTGTTTATAAAGAAAGTCTGTTTTTGTAACACTTGAAATAATATTCTCTGGCATATTAACTTCTGTCTTACAGTCTGCCTTTTAAACTCTGCCTTATGTTTGTACAGTTTTTGAACAGCTGGCAACATCTCCTGAAATCTATCAACTCACTGCACAGGATGAGGACTTGTCACTGATTTATGGTAAAATCATCACATTGAGGAATAATGGCCCCACCTCCAGAACGCGGTACGTTGCGGAGGAGCCAGGAAAGTCACCACAGGCAACATTCCTTCTCTGTTCTTGGTCCAGAGAGTCTCGCTGTCCGTCACCGATGTCTGAGGCACTGCGGTGAGCTTCATTGTTCAGGCAGTGCTGTGGTGCCAGCTCTGGGAACTCCGTGAAGAGCCAGTGTCGGTCTTTGAAGAAACGGTTCTCATGGATCGTGTAAAACTCGTTCCAATACTCGTTGGCTCGGCCGTCGAACTCCTCTGAAAGAAGAAAGTAAGGACTGGAGTTCAGTTGTCAGTTGTCAGTTGTCACGTCAACTGGTGTTTACACTGCATCAAGTACAGTTTTGAGGGCTACTGTGGAAGAAAATAAATAACTGATAATAACAAATGTATAAACTCAGTAACAAGAAGCTAATTTTCACTTAAAACAGGAGAGAGTAAACAAGTCTCTGTGGCAAAAAAAAAACCCAGCAACCTTGTTTCTCTGAAGGTAGAGGCTGACTGTTTTCTAGGACTTTCTTCTTAGCGGCGGCTTCTTGTTCATCGCTCCACTCCACATTGTCCCTGTTGACAACGGAAAATCAATATCCAGAGTGGGTGGAGGGCTGTGGTGAAAAACAGCACAGAAACACTTGGCAGCGCTGAAAATGAGAAACTTTAGACTTGGCTGAAACATTTCCCAGCAGCAGCATCAACAGGGACACAGTAAAACCTGAGTCAACATACTCAGTCCTCCGACACGACCAGGGAGTTATCACAATAAACACATTCAAAAATATACATGTGTTTAAAACAATGTTTATATATGGAGCTATTATACTTTTAAAATGTTTTTGAAGGTAAAAATATCAGGTAAAAATATTAGATAATAATTGATCAAATTCAGCTTCAATTAACTTCAATCAATCAATAAAATGTCAAAAAAAATGAAAGAAATATAATTCAAATAAACGTTGACATGGTCAAACAATCATTAGAACATTCAGTTCCAAACCAGAACTGAGTTTTTGGAGAATTAACCACAGATCCATAATGAATTTAAGGTGGATTAAACGTTTCTACTAAGACACGATTTGCTGAAAAACTGACTTTAATGTCATCATCTCCCTGAGACCCACTTTGGGGTCCAAACCCTCCATTTGAGAACCGCAGTTCTTCAATAAGAAACATACAGTGAGAAAATCATATAAACAAACCAATTTAGTGCAAGAAATGGAAATTTAAAAACATCACCTTAAATGTTTACATGTTATGTGTGAGGAAAAGGCAGTCAAAAAAACGATTTCTAAAGGGCTTGCTGAGAGTTTCTTGAAATTGTGTTTATTTATATTTAATTGTATATTTTTAAATACCGGAGCACATAAAAAAGAATCATTTGCTGCCATAGCCCAATCTCAATTTTACAGTGAAATTAAACATCAGCAACAAAGACTGTACAGTCCTGCACGACCACTGCTTTTACCGCTCTCATTCACTGACCACGCATTGTGCTGGAAGACCTGTCGAGGGTCGCTGAGGAACCGTGTGCCGAACTGAGGTCTTTTCACATCCTCGGAGGATGAATCTGACAGAATAGGTCCAGAATCTCCGCCGTCTCCCTCCACGGCCAACACGCCATGGGGCGCTGCCATTTTGGAAGTGACGAAAGCATGTGCGTTGATGAGTGCTGCTTTCAAAGAACCTCGCAAATGTGAAACCTTTCATCTTTGAATAAATTGTAGTTGCGCAAACAGTGTGTAATGGTACAAAATAAAAACTTTAAACTGTAAAAGTCATCCCTTTTTATTAAACCGTTCTTGTGGTTTATAGCATATTAATACTGAGTATGTCCGGTACATTTTGGAGAATAAAAATATGTAAAGCTTAAAATATTGTAAAACTGGTCAGTGTAAACGCACTATTACGTAAGGAGAAATATTATAATCAATAGCCTACAACTACTAGCAGCGTTGAGTTCTATCGTGAGTCTACAGTACCTGTTCAGCACGGCAGGGTCAATTTTGGACTGCATCATTACTATAGTGCAATTACCATACACTAGAGGGCGACAAATACCAGAATGGTCTCTACCAGTATTGTTGGAGCGCTGGTCTGGTTTGAGCGCTCAAATACTGTAGGACAGGAAAAATTGGACTGAAGAAATAAAAGACAAGTTGAAATGTGTCGACAATTAGTGGTGTTTTATGAAATTATTTTGAAGACGCACTGATATCTACACGTAAATCAAGATGCATCAGTTGTTTTGTGGGGGTGGCCTTATTCATCGTAAATGTACATAGAAGGCTGGGCCTTTCTATTTACAATTTACTACATTAATATAAATGTATGTAAATATGCAACTAGTTTTTCAACTGGAGCTGAGTGATAGAGTCAGTGTTAATGTTAATTGAACCAGGAAATCTGATTGTGAGAATTTATACGAAGTAAATTCAACTTATTCCTGTGTTGACAGTGCCATCTGCTGTATATAAAAATAACGGGTTAATTAACGTGTGTTAATATAAATATATGGGTCATTACATGCATGTGGTTGAGAAATCGAATGTATCATGTATTTAACACATTTCTGTTTATCACCAAATACAGGAAGATTCCGCCACAATCTAGGTTTCTATCTAGTGATGTTGTGTGTACTGACACAGTACATATGTGTCTTGTCTCACAACGTACAAAAAAAAAACCCAGTCAAACACAAAACTAGTTTTGTTTTTTTTTTTGTGTGCAAACACATAAAGCAAAACAGTGACCCTTCACACCATATCCTGAGAGAAGATTGAAACAGTAAGTGCATACTAGATAAAAGTAAAACACAATAAAGTTACAAACCCTAACAACATCACTTAAAATCTGTTGGATCACTTGATTTTCAAATGCCTTTTTATCCACGTGTGTGTCTGACCCACCTGGTACAATCAGGGATTGTACATGAGCAATAACAAATTCACCTGAACACACAGAAATAGAATAAAATCACTGTGAGCGTATCAAAGTCCTGCAGAAGTAGAAAACACTAAATATTTACAGTACCATCAAAAGGACAAATATTTGAGGATAGTTGATGAGATGGAATGTAAACATTTAACTGAACTACGTATATATATACATTATATTTATATATATATTAGGGCTTAATGTCAGAATTCTGACTAAAATCAGACATAATTCTAATTTTCACAATACTTATAAAATCAATATTTCCTTGCCTCAAAGTCAATTTTAATAAATTATTTTTAATGGGAAAATAATTGCGTCTTTACTTGAAGTTTAACCTGCCTCACTACTGGTCCGGTCAGTGGCCACTGATGACCCCTGAATATTGCAGTAAAACTTTGAATTATGCCGTTCTTTGATACAGAAACCACTAATTATAATTAAACACCTCAAACACGTGCAATTGAAAATAAAATACAGGCAGAGGGCAGCATCAGTGCTGATAAACACCACAATACACTCACAGTGGTCCACCTACTGACTAAGTGGCTTCGGTATCATTACAGTCATCCATCCATCCATGCATCCAACCATCCATCCAACCATCCATCCAACCATTCTCATTTACGTCATATTTATTTTAAGGATCACGTGTGAAGCTCCACTCAGTATCAGACAACACAGTGTGAAGGAGTGTACATTGAGGGTGTGTGTGTGTGTGTGTGTGTATAAAAAACAGCAGTTGTTGGAGTGGCACAAAAGTTTCCCCAGATGATGCACGGTACCACAGCAGCTGCTGCTAGAATCCCATCCCAACGTTGTAGCTGCGACGCCGTGTGTAAAAGTGAACCACGTACACCAATTGACAGCAGTAAACACGTCTCTTCTACAGTAGCTGGTCACATGACAGTGTACACTCTCTGCCATTGGTTCCTGTGATGCCACATGTAGCCCTGAGTTTTTCCTCAACCCTTTTGCTCATCAGTTTCCTCGGTACGCTACGTTAGTGAAGGTTGAAGTGGCTCCTTTATACAACGGGTTGTTGGCCTGGGAAATAAAAACAGAAAAAAAAATCAGATTAAATGTTAACTTCCTGATTCCTGTGACTGTACAATGTAGATTAGTCAAACAGGATGGATCGCACAAGGCAGACAGAGTCTGCATCTGACATATATGTGAGTTTTTATCTTTCGACGGTTTGTAGTTCCTCTTTGACCATTACAAGTATTTTCAGCTATTAGCTCTCTATTAGCAACTAATCTATTCATTTTTCATGCTCCCGTGCTGTAATGCCATGCTGCTGTGACAACAAACCACTAACGTTCTTTAATATTTGACAGTTTCTCACCGTGTCCCATTTAGCTTTGGCCCTTTCCTCTTCAAATTTAGCGAACTCTCTGCGATCGTGGATGGTCACCAGCAGCTTCCAGATGAGCAAGGCAGCGAGGCCCAGCAGAATAATAGCTCCAGCCGTCGCCATGAGCACGACCAGGATGTTTGCACCTTCGGGGCATTCTGGAAGGCACAGTTCATTAAAACCATTTTATTTTCAACATTAGCTTCTGTGACGGAGTGGTGCACAGTCATTACTGTCACACTCCGACTGCACAACAGTCCAGAACAGAGACATGTTTTGGTGTTTGTGGTGTGGCAGAGTCTAGCTGTGGTTATCTAGCAGGTGATTTGTTCTTCAGACAGGACATGTTATTATGATGCACACGCACACACACACGCACTGTTACGCTGATGCAGCAGAGTCAGACTGAAGTGTCATGTAAGAACACACTCTTCTGCTCTTAGAATGTACTCAGAATATATAGTGCGTACTCTCTTGGCAGTTTAGATGTGTGAAGAAAACCTCTTTTTTTTAAATACCTGGCTCTTTTACTACAAACAAAATGGAGTTCCCACTCTCATCTTCGTGATACTGGAAGTGCACCACGCAGTCATTTTCATCCTTGTATGAGCAGTTCACTGCATTGGTGGTGGACGTTTCGTAGTCTGTCAGAAGATGAGGAGAAACCATCAGTGTCATCAGTGTGTTGTAGCTTATCAGTCGCAAACAACAAGAATTAAAACGTTCTCAGCAGCAAAGTGTGACGTTCCTCACCCAGGTGACCACCCAGTTCATCCACTACTCTGATCTCATCCCTGCAGATTCTGTTGCAGCTGTTGTCAGAGATGTACTGTCCTCTCTTGAAGTGCTGACACTCAACACACGCCCTGCAGACACAGTACATTTAAGGCATGGGCAAACTAAGGCCCGGGGGCCGAATATGGCCCGTTTAGCTTTTGCTGAATATGCTGCCCCCAGCAATAAACCCACAAATGGTCTTGGCTTAAATTTGTTGATACTTATACAACCACATTAACTCAGTTTTTTCCCCTCATTTCCCTGGATTTCACGTTATCAACTGAAACGTTTTAACATGATTTTTAAAGAGGAAATTCCCATCACTGCCATGCTAATCTAAACTCTGAACTTACATTTTGATGGTGCAGGAATCAGGACAGGTGGGACATTTCTCACAGGTGGCGCCGTAGGCACCAGGTTGAGTGCACTGACAAACTCCGCACTCGCAGTTCCCGCGGCCGCTGCACAGCAGACCGATGCTGGACATGCACGTGTCCGTACGCGCAGAGCAGTTACAGTTCTCCCCTTTCCAGCCAGCGTCACACTGGCAGAAGCCGCAGTTACACTTGCCGTGGTCTGAAAGAACAATGAGACAGTCAGTAGATGAACTCTTAAATAAAAACAATTGGAATTGAATTCGTTCAATTAGAAACAATGGAAACTTATTTTAATTTAATTTAATTTAATTATCATTTTTAACTATTTTCATTTAACCCAGCCACAGGGGGGCACATTTTGTATTCCCCCTACTTCTATGACTGGATACCTCAGTGGGGTCTGAGTCAGCAATGACATCTGACATAAAACAATCCAAGACTGGTATTAGCTGGGGGTAAAAGTTCAGTTCAGAGAGTAGGGAGCAGAGAATGAAAGGCAACCATCCATCCATCAACCAACCATCAAGAGACGGTGCAAAAAAGTACATTGGTTAGAATAGGTGGAGACGGGTGTCAGGAGTGATTCCTGACAGAAGAACAGCAGCACAAGTGATTTTTTGGAAGAGATTTTCACAGGGAGAGACCAGGATGGACAAAACAAAAGGGTAAATCTTTTATCAATTTTTTTTAATTAAATGGGCCTTGAAATACAGCTTTAAAGAATGAATCACAGATGTTCTTTCATGTTAAGTCTGGCTAGCTTCACCAGTGTCTTCTTTAAACAATCTGTCCCTCGGTGGAAACTTGGACATTCCCTGACATGGACTCTTTGATCATCATAATCCCCAATCAGTTTGTCTTTGGACACAAGGAGGAAACAAAAATACCTGGAGAAAACCCACACACACTCAGTGAGAACATACAAACTCTACACACACACAGAAAGGCCTTCTGTCCGTGTTCGGACTCCAGCTGTCGACCATCTGCCGGTCTGTTTGTGTCTCTGAATAAATACTTCAAATCTAAAGATCGCATCTCTGTACATGTTCCTTCGAGTATATTTATTAGTCTATAATCAGGTGGGTGTGTCCATGCAGTAAGATTGTGAAGTACAAATTACAGTACAGTCAGACAATGATTCAGGGCGTCTGTGGTTTGTGTGCTGTGCTGTTTGTGAAATGTTTTTTAAAAAACATTGCACGACTAGGAGACCATACATTTGCACAACAATTGGAAAGAGTCATTACTGTGGTGGTAGTTAAACAGTCAGCAGTAAAAACAGGAACAGTCTCCGCTGTCCAGTTATTAACTTTAGTGCATTTTGAATTAAACACGTTTTACCTAAGTGTACATGAATAAATAATAACTAATTGTAGAAACCTGTATTAGTCTGTTATGGAGTAGTTACCTCTAGCGGTCCTGGTCTGGACTGGTCAGCCAGTACCACCAGTACTACAGACTGGTACCAAAGTGCATTGAAGGATCATTATATTTTCAAAATAAAACATCTTTTAGACTCTATTCTGTTTGGATCAAAGTCTGAATGACCTATTATTTTAAAATATTTCCAGATTATCTTTAAATAAGTCCCACCTCGGCCCAGTACCAAATGACCTATGGACTGGTACTGTTCTGCGGACCAGGGGTTGGGGACCCCTGATTTATACAGTCTTCCAGTTACAACCGGCCTTTCAAGGGGAACTGTATTGCTGATGTGGCCCCTGGTCATAAATGAAGATTAAAAGAAATGGAAATTAGCCAAAACACAGCCAACTGTTACCTTTTAGATCAGCCAAAAATATAGCAAACATACGTAGCTACAAATAATGATTGATGATAGTGATAGCTACATAATAATCTCCATGTTAGAATAAATTAATATTCAGTTCAATTATAATTAAAAGGTTCAAAGTCAAGCAAAGGTGGCCACAAATTAGACTAAAAACAGCTCAAACATTAGGTTGAGGCTGCAAAAAAAAGCTAAAAATTACCCAAATATCAGGCAAAAACTAACAAACCTGTCCAACAACAGCCAAAAGATTAACCAGGTATAAGCCATACAAATCTTAAAGTTATTCTAAATAAATGATATAAACAAAAACGAACACATTTAAGCAATAGCTAGAGTTAGCTACAAGCTAGCTACATTACCATCTATGATTTGGATTTGACCAAAATACAGAAAGGAAACCAACTTCAAGGGTGCCAAAATCGAATTCATATTAAAAAGTAATTTAAATAATAGAATGAAAAAGGTTATTATAAAAAATTAAGATCAAGGCAAGACATTATTGAATAAGACCACATCTGTTTTGAAGCAGCAGAGTAGTTTAAAGTAAGTCTCATTTAGCCGGTAGGACGCTCAGAAATTGAAAAACAACATCTCAACAATAAATGAGGTCAGATATTTCCAAAAAAAATGAACCAGTGACATAAAATACTGGAGAAGGAAATCTTATCTAGCAGTGACACATTGAGGAAACAACTTCCTGGACGCACACGCACCACACACATTCCCAGGGCTGGACCCTGGACAGAGTAATGGGCAAAGAAGAAAAGGCTTGAACAGAAGACTTCCTTTTTAAAGCAATACAGATCAGATATGTGATGATGGGGGAAATACACACGCACACCATGATGCAACCCACTCTAATCTGAGTCGTAATCCTAAGCCTCGCTCCAAACCGACACAGTGAGGGGAGGGTTCATGTCCCTACAAGGACTCGGTTTCCCCACAACAATATATTTGGACTTTTTCTGGCAAGTAAAGCCACAAACAAACACACATCAGCAGCAAGTCCTTACAGGACATTCCAAAAGCCAGATCAGTCCAGCAGACAAGGTTGTAGTGCTGCAACCATTATTTAATGACAGTCCGCCTTAGTCAGCGCAGTGGCTCATCGGCAGATTTAATGACCTCAGAGCAAAGGTAGAACAGACTAACCATGAGCGAGAAACCAAACAGGGCCTGGCACTGGATGACTTAAAGGGCACATGAGTCATGGCCCAGCTGGATCAGACATGGAGGATGGGGGGTGGTGGTGAAATATCAGCGAGGGTCCAAATGTGCCTGATTCAGCCAGGGGGGCGCTAAATTTCAAAACTGATACTTCAGAAATAGTTCAGAAATGCTGTGTTGAAAATGTGTACCTTAAAATGAGAACAGCTGGTTCTTTTATTTTTACATCACATTCTTGCTTGTGTCATGTTTACATTATCCTACTTGGTTCAACTGTGCACTAATCCAGGCCATAAATCAGGTGTATGAGTTACAGAGATTAACACAAGGAAGCCATGATAAGAGAAAAAAAAAGTCATGAATACAACGTAGTAAAGCATGAAGCGCCTGTTTGAGGAGAGAGGAGAAAGTGGACAGAGAGACATTTACTAGAGAAGCATGGGTTTTGGG